AATATTAATTATATATATATCAACACTGCGCCACCGGCGGTAGTTGGTGCATTACCACCGCGGTGGTAAAAATCTGCCACCGTCACAGCCCTAACTAATGGTTTTAGTTAGATGCCAGATATATTAGCCTATGTATTTTTAAGCTATAATTCTCCCACGATTCTGAAAACAAAACAGACAACCAAACAAAATGTCATTTACTTGAATTTCTGACAAAATGTTTTATTAATGTTATGAGTCTATTTAAAAATATGTATTAATTTAAACGAATTAGCCTAATTATGTAAAAAAAATAAATAATAATTTGAAATAAATAAATGAAGACTTGTTTAGTTTTAAATCTCTTGAATGAATCATTCAGACATCAAATACATTTAACAGTCAATGTTCGCCACCTACTGGCATAATGCAACATATACGATCATTATTTGCAGCATATCATTACTTTCAAAGACCCATTGATCGGGGCTGCCGCAACATCAGAGTCTATATCTGGACTATAAACATTTATCCCAATACTTTCATTTAGGGGTGTAAGAAAATATTGATACACGTGAGTATCGCGATATTTTGTTTGGCGATACTGTATCGATTCTCAAAAACGGAATATCGATATTTAAAAAAAAAAAAAGTCGTACAAGATTCATGGCAGTTGTTTCGTTTTTGAGTTTATACCCTGACCGCTAAATAGCGGTCTTCATCTCTGAACTTAAACAGTGACAGGAAATACTAGCATTAGGGCACGCCTCTTTTAACCACTGAAGGTAAAGGGGCGAATAAGGGGTAGAGAACAATCAACCAATAATGAATGCCATTTTGCCACAGTAATCATAAGAGCTTGATCCATATCTGTCGTTAATGTCCCTGCTGCATGGTGGGACATTAACTACCTATTATTCCTAATAGACTGTCAATCAGAGGCAGAGCTTAAAGGGGTCATATGATGCTGCTAAAAAGAACATTATTTTGTGTATTTGGTGTAATGAAATGTGTTTATGCGGTTTAAGGTTCAAAAAACACATTATTTTCCACATACTGTACATTATTGTTTCTCCTCTATGCCCCACCTTTCTGAAACGCGTCGATTTTTACAAAGCTCATCGGTCTGAAAAAGTGAGGTGTGCTGTGATTGGCCAGCTATCCAGTGCGCTGTGATTGGCCGAATACCTCAAGCGTGTGACGGATATGTTACGCCCTTTACCACATTGTGATGATGCCCTGTCAGGCCGGAGCGATGATTCAAAAACATGAAAACAGATCTTCTTTATGCACCAAGAGCTTGTAACACTCCAAAGAGAAAAGAAAAATTTAAATCGCATCATATGACCCCTTTAAAAGAAAAACTGTGCAAATATTGAATGTGCCACTTAAAGGGATCACCCAAAAAATGAACATTCTGTCACTCGTGCAGCACAGATGCAGGAGAAATATATTTGCACAGGATGCATTAGCAATGAACATGTTTAAAGTTGAATGCATGCAAATGTGAATGCAAAAGTTACCTCTAATACTCGGATATTAAACCTGCTTGTTCCATTTCTATTGACGAGTCAGAGTAGATGTATTTTAGCATGGCTTTGAAGTGACATACACTGAGAATCGAATTGCATTGTGCATTTTTGAATCACGAGGGGGTTGGTGATTTTCAGCCTCATTCCTAGGCCTAATCCTCAAAAAATGCCTTCGTTGTCTGTTATGTTTAACACAGTTGTTCATGAGGTACCAGCAAGAATTGCTTCAGTTCCCACTTGTGTTTTGGAGCTCAGCAGCCCATGTCCCTATTAGGGAACGTCAGTGATTCTGCTGCGTGTTCATAGAAGAGTGTCAGTCCTGCAGGTTTAGAACCAAATGAGGGCAAGTGAATGTGTTTTGGGTGAAGTAGCCCGTTAGCATTGTGATTTAAATATTTCATATTTGACTGTGATTTGTGATTGTATTGACAGAGCAAGAACAACCAGTGACTCCTAACTCCATGGCAACCTCAGCAAGAGATCTTCATCCCATAATGCTCTCCCATCCACACCTGTGTTTTCAGAAGTCGTTTACAGCATGAAATCTTTGAGAAGGTTTCTCCACTCTGAACAAGAGCACACACCAGCACTAATATCTGTGGATGAAACTCGGTAATATCACGAGGACAGCGCATCGCCATGGTTTGGATTGGTTTTAATTTCATTGGACCTATTTTGTGTCTTTTTTATTTTGCTTTTTGTTTTGTTGGAAAAAGCAGCAGGATCTGAAGTAGGTCTATGCATTTCTAACGCTGTTCACACATTGTATTTTTAGACAACTTTTTTTCAGAGGCAAAATGAAATGCTCTATTTTTTATATGAAATTACTTGAAATTTCCTATCATATCTACAGGGCTTTATGCTCAAATCCAGTTTGTGAGATTGTTAGATGATGTCTTATGCTGAAGAGTGCTCACATTGTGTACATAGTGTACCTTATGAGATGTAAAAAAAAAAAAAAAAGATTTGATTGTACAAAATGATGAACAGACATTGCATTTGGTTGAGACGCACAGAACAAAGCAGCAGTGTCTGAGTGTTGAAGAGTCTTACTTTTCTTTATCCAAGAGTAGGATCCATGAATAAAACTGCTATCATTTAGTTTCTGTAACAATGCGTTGTTTCATTCACTTCTTCCAAACAGTCACACACCAGGCTAAAAGATGGCTCATTTAAATGTCTCTGCAGACTAAACTAGTCATACTGTATCATATTACACAGTTTAAATGTCATAAGACATGTCCAGTTCATAATTCACAACAAAATAAGACCATGTTTGAGAGCTTTAAGCATTTTTTGGCTATTTTCACTACAGTTAAGCACATTTACTGTAATACATGCACAGATTTTTTTTTTTTACTATAACCTACAAATTTTGTAAAATACTACTGTGAATAGATTTATCATGAAAAATAGTTCTTGTTTAGGAGTGAAATTGTAGTACAGGGGTTAAAGCAAAAAAAATATATTTTGGCCGCCAGCAGGTGGTGGCAAGTCACTGATTTTATCACTGAATCATTAATTCTATTGATTCGTTCGAACGGCTTATTCATTCAGGAATGAAGCAAGTGACTATGAATGGGTAATCATGAATCACTGACTCACTAGATTCGTTCAAAAACGCACTTTCATTGAAAGAATTATGTTTGCTTTTAGAGATGCGCAGCAGCTGAGCTGTTACTATATTTGGAACTATTTCCGTTGAAGAAATAGAGCAAAATCAGGCAGTACTTGTTTATTGAACTGTTGTATTAAATCAATATCACATTTGCAAACTCTCTTAATAATTATTAAAAGTTGTCACTCTCCTTATCGCGATCTGTGGGAGCACAGAAAATGAGAGAGAAAATGTTTTTGAAATTTGCTTCTGCTCGCCAAGGCTACATTTATTTGATTGAAAAAAATATATATATTTTACATATTGTGTAAATTTGTATGAATTTTCAGCATCATTACTAGTCTTCAGTGTCACATGATACTTCAGAAATCATTCTAATATGCTGATTTGCTGCTCAAGAAACATTTATGATTATTATTGATGTTGAAAAAAAAAATTCTGGATTTTGGTGAAAACTGCAATATACTTCTTTCAGGATTATTTGATGAATAGAAAGCAGCACCTAGTGGCAAAGAATGAATTAGCATTTTCATTCAGACCAATGTGAAAAGACCAACAAGTGGGCGGGCAATATGCTAATGTTTTATGTTGACGTCAACATGAAACGGCTTGGGATTCGTTTTAAAAACGACTCGTTTCAGTGATTCAGAGTCGACTCTTTCTTTTGAGAGACAGTAACTTTTTACACGGTGCACTTTCAGATTTAAAACTTGATGTTTTCATTCACTTGGAGCTGTGTTACACACTGCATGAAAGGCAATTTTCAAAAATCCATAATAGGGGCACTTTAAAAAAAATCATTTCTATATTATAGAGTTGTTTGGGGATCTGCGATGACATCATAATCGTGTTGCATTGTGGTCTATGGAGCGGCCTGAAGTGTGCATATGAAGTAGACTCGCTCCCTCGTTCAAGATCGAGAGGTCGGGGGTCTGTCCATATAACCTTCCCTCGTCCACTTCATGAAGTGGAACACACTTCAAAATGGCAGCGGGGATTCCCCCGAGGGGAAGTGCTTAGGGAAGTTTGCGAGTGCATGTCTAAAAGTGCAGTGCAACGCAACCATTGTATGTATGTGTGAAAATTCACACAAAATACAATCGTTTGCGCCCTTGAAAAATGCATCATCACCCCACCCCAGGAGCCATTTTCTTTCAAATTTCTCAGACTTTAAAGCCGTGAGTCAAACAGGCCCACTGAGTTAGTAAAGCCATGTTTGTAAAAGTGGCCCTGACCATTTCTAATGTTTTGGCGTCCCTTTGCAACGGCGTGTCAACTTTTTTTATAATCATTGATGTTCACTCTCCAGGCAATCTCTGCACTGGTTTGGTTCAGATTGGGCAGAAAACCTAGAACTCGTTCGCAAAAGTAGGTTTTTCAAAAAAAATTCCAAATACGTGAAAATTTTGCCGTTGAGACTGCAACTAAGGGCTTAGGAGTTATGAGTGATTTCGTACTTTTGATCGCTGTAGCACCCCCGTCAGGCTGATTGGGACGAGCCTTGTTCATGTTGTAGACGTTGGGAGTACTACCATCCCTCCAAGTTTCAAGTCTCGACGACTTACGGTTTGGTCTGCCCGATCAGTTTTAGGTGGAGATTGCTGATCCTTTGCCATTCTAACAAGCTACACGCTTGAACCCCTTAAAATCTTACTAACCCCAAAAGGTGGTGTATGATGTGGACATTTCTTGGTTGTTTTTGTTTGATTCAGCGCTTGATATTTCATTCGTGTCACAAGATTTCAGACAGTCGTGATGGGACATGACTTGACACTGCTAACAAGGTCATTTTTGATGCACCAACAATGGAAAAAATGGCCAAACTATGCAGAAGGGGCTTTAAATGTTTTCATTTTCTTCCCACAAGAACGTCACACACAACTGGTCCCAGCAGGTTCAGAGCTGCGTCACATTACAAGAAGTGCTGCTCTGCTGGGAAACTCAGATGGCAGGGAGCCAGAGCCATCCACCGCTGGGTGGAGAGAGATGAAAGCTGAACTATCAGCATGACTAGCGTTATAAAGAAAAAAATGACACGGGACACACGATTTGGCAAAAATAATGCTACAGCTTATTATTTCTGTACCATTTCACTTATTTACAAGCAAAATGTGTAATCAGCACTTTGTGCAGTTTGACCGCTCAACCATCAGTCCATCAGTGATTTCTCTGGTTCATGTTTAAAACGGTCACACCTGCAGAGTTGCGTCAGGCATATCCATATGCAAGCGTGAGGTTTCAGCCGTGCCTCAGAAGAGAAGAGGTGGGATACCGCTGCCAAACAGCAGCCTCCACGAGGGAGGAACCCGCCACTGCACCGAACCCTGCGTCTGAGAGAAAACATTAAAAAACAACAACGTTCAGTCTAGACAGAAAAACGTTCACTTCTGAAATTCTGTGACCACATACTTCTACGGTAATGTGCCATTCTGGACATCCAGTTTTGAAAGCGCAGTTTCAAATCATTATTCACACTTACAGGTTTTTCCAGCAGATGGAGCCAGTCGTTGAGATGGTTAACGAGAGCAAACGCGTCAGGGATGTTGTCTCCTTCTGAGCAGAAGATCAGCATTACTGCCATAGAGATGTCCTCTGTGCAGCTGGACCAGACAAAAAACCTCCATTGGCCGGATTCACAATTATAGATTTGACAGAATTGTTTGATTTATGCCGGTTTTTACCAGTCTGTGTAAAGGGCTTTGGTCACTCCTCCTCCGGGAATGTAGAGCCGCTGCTCTGAGTCAGAGATCCCGGGAAACGCACTGATCCTCTCCATCTCCCTCCAGCCCAGCTCCTCCACCCTCGGAGCCGCCTCCTTCTGCAGAGACGGGGTCAGCAGGTACCGCAGAGGAGTGCTGCGCAAACAGTAACATTTGAATACTAGTAACCCGTGTTGGGCAAAGTTACTTTTTAAAAGTAATGCATTAGAATATTGCGTTACTCCCTAAAAAAAAATAACTTTTTGTTTTTTATTTTAGTGGACATGTGAAGTTCTTCTCAAGTTCACACAGGTGTCCTAACAGAGGAACCACCGGTGCAAAGAATCACATCAGTTATCAACATCATCCACTTAGGTTCGAAAGTGGCACAACACTTTTTGATTTTGATTAGTAAATTGTTTTATGCTTTAAAACATATTTACATTAAATGTATCGATTGAAAAATGTGCTCCCCATTGGTATTTATAAAATTTTATGTGTGGCATAAATACATGGCATTAATTTACATGTGTCTTCTATCTTCTCTGTCCTCAGTGTTTGATTACCCATGAAGCTGTTGGTCATCTCTGTGATACGCGTGACTGCTGGACAGCAGCACACTCCTGAGGAATCCACTGCTCTTGATCCAAGAAACCATCAGCTTTCGGAATGATCTGACCTTTGTCTAAGAAGAGCAGTAAATAGCAAAGAGTCATGTGCAACTGAAATAAAGAAACTGATTAAGTGGGCAACTGATATAACGGCCGACATTTGGATTTGTTTAAATGATCATCGCAGACCGATAATCATCAGAAGCAGCTTTTATTTTGACTGCACCAGGACTTTATGTTTTTTTTTTTTCTGAGAATGCACAGGAGCTCTGGTTCTCATTTGGCATTAGCTTTTTATTTTTTGTTTAGCCATTCTGTCTAATAAATTATTTGACAAATAAATTATTAGAAATAAATGTTAAACAAATTAAGTAAATGGTATATGAAAAAGTATTACAAGTATTTTTTTTTTTTATCAAGTACAAGTATTTTTCATATTGATTCATTTTCAAAATCAGATTAAAATTAATTTCAGTAAATATTATGTAAAAAAAAAAATGTAATTGCAGCATGTTAATTACTATCTTTTAATGAAATTGTCTGTTAATCGCCTTTATATCAGCCACCAGAGACAGGGGTTTTCAAACTGGGGACCAGGGACTCCTAGGGGCCTCAGAGACAGAGGAAAAAATAATAGAAAAACAGTGTAAAAAAAAAAGTAAATTAATAATAAATATGATTAACTACATTCAATTAATTACAATTAAAATGGTTTAAATAAATAATGTGTAAATTTGATTTAAACAAATAATTGGTTAAAATTGATTAAAATAATTAATAGAATTTGATCAAATTAATTAAAAAATTTGATTTAAACACCACATCTAACAGTAAAGTACTATAGCGAGTAAAAAAACAACAACATTAAAAACGAAATATTTCCAAATAATATTTTACACATGCTTATATTCATTTTTCATAGTATTAACAGGGTCTTTATGCATGAAAAAAATATATAGCTGCCTTTTAAATTTTAGAATGGGGGTCCCATGCATGAGGATGAACATATTTGGGGGTTCATGGCATCTAAAGGATTGAAAACCCTGCTCTAAGATAAAAATAAATCCATTTCGGTCGACCACTACACTCTTAAAAATAAAGGTGCTTCACGATGCCATTGAAGAACTTATTTTAAAGGGATAGTTCACCCAAAAATGAAAATGTGATGTTTATCTGCTTACCCCCAGGGCATCCAAGATGTAGGTGACTTCGTTTCTTCAGTAGAACACAAATGGAGATTTTTAACTCAAACCGTTGCAGTCTGTCAGTCATATAATGGAAGTGAATGGGAATCATGGCTTTGA